AACTTAAAAATATTATATTTTTATCAACGCCAAGACATTTTAAGACTAACAGTAGTATTTGGAGGCTAATATTCCAATTCTCTTAAGGGAGCCACGGTGGCTCAGTGAGTTAGACGCTTGCTCGCTTACCTGAGGGTCCAGGGTTCAATCTTGGCATAGGTCGAGATAATACCTTCAGATTTTTCAACCCGGTTTCCCCCTGTCAGTGATGTAGGTAAGAGGGGCTGACATGGAAAAAGCGTCTAGTCGTTCAGATGGGACAATAAACCGAGGCCCTGTGTGCTACAGACTGTGCTCGTTAAAGATCCCTCGACAGTTAGAAATTGAAAAAGAACAGGCTAATGCCGCTGTCCTGGCAAAATTTCGCACATAGCACACTGCATGGCGTTGCCCGTCTTCATTAGCCCAGATGGTGCAGAAAAGTAGGACGTAAAACTCCATTCATTTCATTTCCAATTCTCATAAAAATAACAAAAAAAATTCAAAAAACTTTCTTCGATGAGACAACAGTTTCTTCCTGAATCTAAAAATATCCAAAAAATGTCACAAATTCAAATTCTCAGAAAAAAAATTCAAAAAAAACATTTAAATTTCAACAATAAAAGACATTGTACTAAAAAAATTTTTTTCCAATATTTTAGGCTTTGTTGATACCAAGATCCCCCGGAGCCTCAAATTTCGACGGTAAAATTGGAGCGACCAAGCCAATTCGTGATAAACGCTATCAACATTTAAATAGTGCAGTCCAAGCTCAGGAACAGAGAACAACACGAGGGCGAGAAGATAGTATCAATTCACGATATAGTGTAGACCCTGTCAAATTTTTAAGAGACAAGGGTGATTTTGACCAAGGTGAGTAGACTATTATTTTTAACTTGGGAGTCCAGGTAATTACTCCCCAACGAGTGTATTTTCGTAATTTTTGAGTTTGGATTGAATGTAGATTTTATTGCGTTCATTGGTTGATGGAGTCATTCATGTAAGATTTAACACATGAAAATTAGGCGTTCATCAAGCAATGGACGCAAAAAAATCTACATTCACTCCTTATATTTACATTTAATTATTGTAATTATTATTATTATTACTATCATCATTATTATTATTATTATTATCATTATTATTATTTCATTATTATTATTATTATTATTATTATTATTATTATTTCATTATCATTATTATTATTACAGTAGCAGAAGATATAGAACTTGGTGTCATGAATTATTATTTTTATTATTATTATTACAGTAGTAGAAGATATAGAACTTGGTGTCATGAATTATTATTATTATTATTATTATTATTACAGTAGCAGAAGATATAGAACTGGT